TTGTAAGCCGATATGCTTTACTGATTTGTTAAATGTACTGTTCTGCTCAAAAGCTTAATCCTTCCTATATTTTAATGTTTACTCCTCTATCACATGTGCCTTTCCCCTAGACAAGACAAATCCCTCTACATACAGAAGTGATCCATCCTCCAGCATATTGCCTCTTCCATCATCCTCACTCTTTCACTTATCTTCAATTTCTCCCTGCCTATTGCCAGCTTCCCTACTGCCTATAAACAAGCACATCTCTCCCTCCTCGTCCTGAAAAAACCCTCAATTGATCCTTTCATCTTCCTAGTTATTGTTCCTTATCTCTCTTCCCTTTTGGGGCTAAACTCTTTGAGAAGGCCATCTACAATAAGCGTTTCTACTTCATTTCTTTTGTTTTCCTAACTCTTTACAATTGGACTTCTGACCCAACTATTCAGTAAAAACTGATCTCTCCAAAGTTACCGATCATCTCTTTTTAAAAAATTTTTTATTAAATTATTTTTAGTTTTTAACATTCACTTCCATAAGCTTTTGAGTTTTAAATTTTCTCCTCCTGTCTCCCCACCTCCCTCCCAAGATGGCATGCAATCTTATGTAGGCTCTACGTGTACATTCCTATTAAACATATTTTCACATTTGTCATGTTGTAGAGAAGAACTAGAACCAATAGAAGGAACCACAGGAAAGAAGAAACAAAACAAAATAGAAGAAAAAAAGAGCAAATAATATGCTTCAATTTGAATTCCAACTCCATTGTTTTTTCTCTGGATGTGGATAATATTTTTTATCATGACACTTTTGGAGATGTCTTAAATCTTTGCATTGCCAAGAGGAGCTAAGTCTATCAAAGTTAGTCATCGAGCAGTGTGGCTGTTACTGTGTACAAAGTTCCCCTGGTTCCGCTCACTTCACTCAGCATCAGTTCATACAGGTCTTTCCAGGTTTTTCTGAAGTCCACTTGCTCATCATTTATTATAGCACAATAGTATTTCATTACATTCATATTCCACAACTTGTTCAGCCATTCCCCAATTGATGGGCATCCCCTCAATCTCCAATTCTTTGCCACTGCAGAAGGAGCTGTTATAAGTATTTTTGTACGTGTGGGTCCTTTTCCCATTTGTATGATTTCTTTGGTATACAGCCCTAGAAGTAGTATTGCTGAGTCAAAGGGTATGCACATTTTTATAGTCCTTTGGGCATAGTTCCAAATTGCTCTCCAAAATGGTTGGATCAATTCATAACTCCACCAACAATGTATTAATGTTCCAATTTTCCCACATCTTTTCCAATATTTATCATTTTCCTGTTTTGTCATGTTAGCCAACCTGATAGGTATGATGTGGTACCTCAAAGTTGTTTTGATTTGTATTTCTCTAATGAAGAGTGAGTTAGAGCATTTTTTCATATGACTATAGATAGCTTTAATTTCTTCATCTGAAAACTGCCTGTTCATGTCCTTTGACCCCAATGATCTCTTAGTTGTCAAATTTAATGGCCTTTTCACAATCCTCATTCTTCTCAACTTCTTTTCGGCTTTTGACCCTGTCCGTCCCCTTCTTTTCTTTCTTCTCTTTAGGTTTTCATGACACTTCTCTGTCCTGGTTCTCCTGTCTGTCTTAAATTATTTTTCAGACTCCTTTGCTGAGTCATTATCAGTTAGTCACTAAACATTTATTGAGTGACTACTGTGTGCCATCTCCTGTACTAAGCACTAGGCGTTCAAAGAAAGGCAAAAAAGATAATCTTTGCTCTTAAGGAGCTAATAGTCTAGTTGGGGGAGACAACATGCAAACAACTATCTACAAATAATACATATGTGTGTAAATGTATATATGTGTGTGTATATATACATACATATATACATATATATGCCGAATTGGAAATGCTCGACAGAGGGCAGGCACTAACATTAAGGGGAATCAGGAAAGACTTCTTGTAAAAGGTGGAATTTTAGCTTGGACTTAGCCAGGGAAGCCAGGAAGTGGAGATAAGGTGGGAGAGAATTCCAGGCATGGGGAATAGCCAGTGAAAATGCACAGGGTCAGGAGGTCAAATGTCTTGTGCAAAGAACAGTAAGCAGGCTAGGGTAGGTGGATCGCAGAAGGGGGTAAGGTATTAGGGGAAAGATAATGAGCTCAGTTTCGGATCTGGATGAATATCCAGCAAAGGAGACTGAGGAGGAGTCAAACAAGTAGGAAGAGAAGGCCCAGGTCATACCCTGTGAAGGTAGGTATCCTCCATGGCTCTGTCTTATGCCCTCTTCTCCTTCTGTACTGTTTCACTAGGTGATCTCATCAGGTCCTGTGGGTTACTTATACAGCCCTAACCTCTTCCCTCACCGCTGTCTCCAGCTGCCTCTTGGAGTTCTTTAACTGGATATCCTGTAGACCTCTTAAACTCACTGTGTCTAAAACAGAACTCGTTATTTTTGCTGCCAAGCCCTTCCTTCTTCCTATTTTTTTTTTTTATTACCATTGAGGGCACAGCCATCCTCAAAGTCACCTAGGCTCAAAACTTAAGTGTCATCCTTGAGTCTTTACTCTCTTACCCCCTCCCCATATCCAATTTATTGACAAATCCCGTCATTTTTACCTTTGTAACTTTTCTTAGATACACCCCCTTCTCTCCTGTCACCACTATAACACAGGCCCTTATCATGTCATATCTTGACTATTGCAATAACTTTCTGGTTGTACTTCTTGCCTTAAGTCTGTTCCCATTTCAGTATATCCTCAACTCAGCTGTCAAATTGATCTTCCCAAAATGTAGGTCTGACCGTGTCACCTCCTATTCAGTAAGCTCCAGTAGCTCTCCGTCACCTCCAGGATCAAATATGGAACCCTTTTTGGCCTCTAAAGCCCTGGTCCCATCCTACTTTTCCAGTCTGCCTACGTGTAAATCCCTTCCATGTATCCTGTGGTGTAGTGATGTTGACCTCCTTGCTGTTCCTTGCATAAGATGTTCCATCTCCTGCCTCTGTGCGTTTTACTTGGCTGGAATCCTCTTCCTGCTCATCTCCTCCTGGCTTCCCTGGCCTCCTTCAAGTCCAAGCTGAAATTCCACTTTCTGCCAGAAACCTTTCCTGATCCTTCTTAATGCAAGTGCCTATTTTTGGTCAATCAGTTCTGATTCATCCTCTGTATATCTTATTTATACATACTTGTTTGCATGTTGTCTCTTCTCTTTAGTCTGTGAGCTCCTTGATAGCAGGAACTCTTTTGCCTTTCTTGTATATGCAGCACATAGCACAGTGAGTGGTACACAATGTGTGCTTCATAAATGCTTGTTGACTTAACTTGGTCCAGAAATTGAAATCTTAAAATATCATCTTTTTAGGAAACTGTTTATTTCCAAATCTCCCTTTCTCTTCTGAATCCCCTGTTGCTGTTTTTTTAAGTTTTACCTTTTGTTTTTAACCCCCTTCGTTTCTCTCTACCTCTCCTCCCTATGAGTCCCCAACTTTCAGTTGGCAGTCATGATGAAAGTATTATCTGTGCCCTCAGACCACTAACTTCTCCCGCCCCAGGAGTTTGCAGTTTTTAATGTTGGTTTTTAGGGTTCTTTGGTATTTTTTCTATCACATTGAATCATCAGAAGTGGGTAGGAATTGTCTGGTTTGATTTTCTAATGCCACAGACATACTGAAGTATGTTTAATATTTTGGAGGGAGGAACAGGTAAGGTTACACTGCTGTACTCAATACTATTTCAAAGCTCCTCTTTTCAGAATTTGCTAGCTATTCAATTTAATTCATTTCAGTTCAGTAAGCGTTTATTAAGTACTTACCATATGTGAATGTTAAGAAAAAAAGGAAATTATCCCTATTGTGAAAGAGCTACTGAGAAGATACAACCTGTACAATACAAGGATAAATGTGAAATACAAGAAAAGTCATTTTGAGTTGGGGAGTATTAATAAATGAGAGCAGCAGAAAAGTCTTCTTTTAGGAGGTGGCACTTGTGAGAGCCTTTGAAGAGGGGTTCCAACTATTGGTGGTGAAGCAGGAGATAGGATGTTGTGTTTACCGAATGTTTGACTGACACTTGGTGTACATCAGGTAGAGTAAACAGAAATCAGTCTGGAAAGATAGATTGAAGCCAAATCGTCATTAGTTGTTATATCTCATTTAATTTTTTGTTTTATTCTCTAGGCAGTAAGGCAGGCCTCAAAGCTTGGTTAGGAAATGTTGTGGTTAGGAAATCTGTGCTTTTGGAAGACAGTGCTTCAGCAAGGACAGTGCAGTTTTTCAGAAATCACTTGACTGAAAGTTTGTAGTAGATTCTAGTTTAACTACTGGGCCTCATTTTTTCCATTCCCCCAAGTAGAGATATTATTTGCCTCTAACAAACATACTGGAATGTCTTAGGAATAAATGAAATAGTTTTTAGTCTTCTTTCAGAAGAAAAGTAATATAAAAATCTCATGTAGTAGTTTTCATTAATATTACCCAGTGGTATTTCTAACTAAGTTGTATCTAGTGTTAATTTAACTCTCTTGTATTACAAATTTGGTAAAGCATATTGTTCAGTTATGAAAAAGTTGAAACCAAACCCTCTAAGATTCAATAGGTGGATCATTTTTGACTGAGTTCTGTGATTTGCATAAGAAATATCCTTTCATCAGTTTTTCCCAGTTATTATCTTCTTCAGGATAGCTACATTTTCCTCCTGTTTCTTTAATTTAAAAATTTTAAAAATGTTTGGGAATATTACAAAACTAATACAAATGTTTCCTGCTACTGAAAAACCTGCTGTATCAAAATATGATTTCTTTTAAAAATCAAGAGCAGTTATTTGCTTACTATATATTCTTACATAGATAAATTCTTTCCCTGAAAGGCACAATTGATGATGAAATAATGAAAATAATAATAAATAATAATAAAAGGTAAGATGCATTTACAGGAATTTGATTGTGAATTAGAACTAACTTAGTTAACTTTACAATGTAGAAAATGATAATTTAAGCAAATTTATTAATCTTATTGAACCTTAACGAGATATCAGAACACAGCTTGAAGGGGATCGAAGACAGAACTTATTGGATGACCTTGTTACTCGTGAAAGACTGCTGCAGGCATCCTATAAGAATGAAGGTACAGAGCCAGATCTGATCAGGTATAGTGCTTTCATTTATAAGACTGAGTTGGTGGCTAACAAATTATTCCTTGTTTGTGATTTAATGATTGATTTCATTGATAGAAAAAGTTGTCTTCACTTATAGTCAGGTGAATTATCTTTCTTTCAATTTTGCTTAATTTCTTAATTTTCTTTCTTTGTTTTATTTAACTGAAATAGTGAACTAGACATGTTAACGTATATTTGGCTGAACTTTATTGTAGGTAGATTTTGCTAGGTAGAGTACAAATTAAGACAGTAAATTTCTTTTGGATCTTTGGAATATATCTGTTTTATAGACTGTTCAGTTTCTTTGGTGTTCCTATAGGCAGTTACTTGGTATCACTGTCTGTGCAGTCATATTGAATTTGTCATTGACAAATATGAAGAATGCCAGGGAGGTACTAACATTATATTGTGGATCACGTATGTTAGAGAAATTGAGTTATTCTTTCTATTCCTTATCATACTGTATAATTTTTAGTATCAAAGTGGAAGATAGTTTGAAATTGTCATGAACTTCTGAAAGATCATGATAGCTTTCTGAGTTCAGAATTAATGGACTTTGAATTGTCATTTCCTTATATTTTTTCCTGTGCTTCAACATTTCTTCCACTTTGATGTCATTTCATGGTGATGACTACCCAATAGCAGGGGGTATAGAAGTAGCCTGTCCTTGCTTTTTTCCTAGTTAATAATAGTTTCACTTCTATTACAAATATGAGACTGAAGCTTTTTCTTACAGTCTTGGTCAGTAAGGGTTTTGAGATTACGAATTCAGATGAAATATTGAATAACCCTTAGTTTATTGAGAGTGAATCCCAAAGAATCAAGAGAAGAAAAGGAGTGAAGCTATCCTCGTAGTAATTGTGGCAAAGTTTTAAACGCAAAAGAGAAGCCATTAGTGGACCAGTCAGCTTCAAGTTGCAGCTGGAAGTTGTAGTTCTGACTTTCCCAGTCAGTTCTCTGTAGCATTGCTGTAGGAGTAGATTCAGGTTGGTTATAGCATAAGGATCGAGGAATGAGATATTCCTAAGTATTAAAAGAGTTAACCATGTCCACAATGAATAGGAAGAGAGTCCAGTGGATTCTTCGTCTGAGGGAAGAAGTTTGGGTCAAGAGAGTCATTGTGAGGTGGAGAAAGCTTCATTAAGGAGAGCCAGTGGAGTATAGTGGGAAAAGTATTGCACTTAGAATCAGATGACCTGGTTAGAGTTCCAGGCTCCCACCTGTTAGCTTTGTGACCTTGGGCAAAATACTTGATTTCTCTGAGCTTCAGTTTCCTGAGTTGGACTAGATGATCTTTGAGGTTCCTTCCATTTCTAATATTCTGTGATTCTAAGGATGTTGGAGAAGTGCCAGTAGGTAAGTCCTTGTCAAAGTAACATCTACAAGTTCTCTTTTTCAGTTTGTTGTTCTGCTACTCTCCCTTCTTGTTGCTTTCTCTCAGTTTCTCCTCTATATGCATCCATTCCTCTTCCTCCCCAAATCAGTGAGTATTTTTGTTTTTCCTTCTTTGATGCTGTGTGCAATATCCTGTGTTTTTGACCTGTTTTTTGACTTTTCTTTTGTGTTGTGTCTCATTTTTTTTCCAGTGCCTTGCTCTTTCCTAAATATCATGTTGGGCTGCTAGGTGGCACAGTGGATAGAGTGCTGAGCTGGAGTCAGGAAGACCTGAGTTTAAATCCCAACCTCAGCCACTTGCTAGCTGTGTGACCCTGGGCAAATCGCTTAACTTTGTTTGCCCCATTTTCCTCATCCGTAAAATGATCTGGAGAAGGAAAAGGCAAACCACTCCAATATCTTTGCCAAGAAAACCCCAAATGGGGTCACAGAGAGTCGGACACAACTGAAACAGCTGAAGAACAACAAAATATCATGTTGGGAAGTAATTTCGTAATTTAATCTGAACTAAAATGTTAGACTGATAATGATTTCATACCTTCCCAAGATTATTTATATTTAATAGGTGACTCCTGGAAGCCTAAAGATTTAAATCAGAAGTACTATCTGATTATAAAGCAAGACACTAGAGGATATAGTTCTGCATATGGCAGAAATCCTAAAATCACTTTCACTTGGCAGCCACCTAATTTTTCTTCGTATGAGAGCAACTGATGATGAGACCAGGGGTATCTTTTTTAGTGAATGGCAAATAATAGGATGGAAATGGAATTACTGAGGTTTGATGGCCAGATAATGAAAATTTACATGCTCACAATGTGACCTTGAGGACAAGTATTATTATTTAGTTTTTGTTCATTGCCAGAGGTATGAGGTGGTTCAGAATAGGCTTTCTAGAAGATGTGACTCTTGAAGGGAAAAATTTGAAGAATGGAGAGGTAGAAATGACAAATGGACAGTGGTGACTTTTTCCAGATGTATGGGGATAGCATGGAGGAATTAGAGGAGATTGGAGTAGGAAAAAGAACTCAATGTGATATTAAGATGATGTGCTTTACTACTGTGATCAAAAGAAATAATGAAACATAATTGTGAGAGAAGAGATAAAGGTGCAAAATAATGGTGGTTAGAGGTTTTTTGTTTGTCTTTTTCTTACTTTAAAATGAAGATGTTGAATTAGATGATCTCTAATGGCCCTTCCGGTTGTAACATGTAATTCAGTGAAAATGATAGGTATATTTAGAAAGGGAAATGTTAGCAAGAATTTTGCCTTTAGGATCCCCACTGCCTTCATATGAAAAATATTGATACAATATGAAGGAGAAAAAAGTGATATTAAGTTATTTGAATTTAATAAAGTGAGTTGAACTTAAACCACAATTTGTCTGAATTCTTTTCTATCTTTCGCCAGTTCCCTCCTTTACTTTCGATTTACGGAGCATGATTACTTCCTTTTTGTAAGGGATGATTACGTTCCACAATGCAAGGTACACTCTTGATCCTGTGTAGATGATTCACAAATATGAATTATTGGTCATAATGTGGGAAAGAGTCAAGTCAATGAGTCAACAAGCATTGATTATTTATCATGTGCCATAAGTTGTGCTAAGCCTTAGAAATAAAAAGAAAGGCAAAAAGTGGTCCCTGCTCCTAAGGAGCTCATAATGTAATTGGGGGTATGACAGGCAAACAACAAAAACCAACTGTGTACAGACACAATATATTTGGAGAATTTGGAGATAATTTGATAGAGAAGGCACAAACATTAAGGGGACTATGAAAGGCTTCTTACAGAGATGGTGAGTCTAGGGTCTAGTGTAGTTCTTACTACCTGTAGAGAAACCATTCATTTGCATGGGTCAGTAGCATGAGATTTTCATATATATGAGTTAACTCTTTTATATTCTCTGTCTTTTGCTTATGAATGGTCAGCTACCTGAAAGGTTACTTCACTGTGGCCTTTAGTTCTATGTAAAAAATGCGTGAAGTTAGGTTGTTGAAACATCGACAATATTGCCTGCAGTTTAGTTTTCTTTAACAGATTTAAGTATTTTCTTCTCTTTAGATTTCTACCTTTATGAGCTATATCCCCAAAACTGGTAATTTCATCTTCCAGTAACTTAAAAGAGTCAGAGAAGTCACTGGGAAACAAAAAGTACCCTGTTTTGCATATTTAGTACCATCTACAGGCTTAATTTTGACCTTAAAATTCTGTCAGTTATTTTATTTCAGTCAGTCAATAAGCATAAGTATTTACTATTTCCCTGACATTTGCTAAGCATTTATATATTTTTCATATGTTTCATCCATGTTAGTTTACTTTATGAAAATTTGGAGATCATCTATGGATCTTATGTCCTTTTTTAGATGTTTTTTTTTCTCATTTAGTGATAAAAAGCAGAAGAATTTTCATAATTGCCTAGAAAATTTTCTTTTGGAGTACAAACTATCCTGGTTTGAGTTGATATGTTTTACATTAAGGGAAATGATCAGTTTTAGAGGAAGGTTATTTTACTTTAGGAGAGTGTTCTAGTTATCTGATTTAATGAAAAGAATCTAGATTGGGAGTCAGGAGATTGGGGTTCTAGTTTAATCTCTCATCACAGTAGTCAGGTTGGGAGAATTCAAGGGACATGGAACAAGTCTTACACTAAGTTTTTCTAACTGTATGGTTTATTGATAATATTCAAACTGATTTAGTGCACATACTTGCTCATACAAAATGTGTACATGACTTGTATGATCTTCATTTCATTGTTATCCCAGATACTTTTGGGAGGTGAAGCCCAAAAAGTTAATTAGTTCTTTCTAGCCCATTGGCGTTGGGGGATTATGTGATTTTATATTGAGGTAGACCAAGAGAGCCTCATTCAGAGTTGAGAAAATGTCCATGTCTTTGAATACTCTGATCATAAATTGGTCAGCTTAATCATAGGGTTGATGGTATTCCTTTTGATTCGGGTCCTGTGCTCATAGATATTCAGCAATAGCTATTTATTTGCCTGCTCTTCCTCCTTCATGTGAAGTGCTAATCTGCCTGGGCACTGCATCATTCTACTCCTTAACTAATGGTATTACATAGGTGTAGCCACTGAGGTCCTTTCTAAGTGCATTGCATAGTTTTAAAAATAAACTACCTGTAAACTACCTATCCAGCCTCACCATCTACCATAAATCATACTTCCATAAAGGCTCTTTGCTCACAAGATGAAGGCACAGAAAATGTGCTACAGGTGTTAAGTCATTATCTACAGTTGGGGGATAGGATGAGAGTTTGGACGCTCCCAGGATCGGGAATTAAAAGTTATTGTCTAGTCCAATCATTGCTATCCTTACTTTTGGGTTATAATCTTCAGTTTCTTTGAGTGGCTTGAGGAACTGTCCCACTCTGTAGGCAGATGGTGATGTTATTCAGGAAGACGAGATGCATTCTCTAGGCTACCTTGAAGGGATTTTCTTTTTAAACATTCTGAATTGGTTTTTGTTGTTGTTGTTGTTGCTGTTGTCCTTCTTTTGTTTTTGCTAGGCAGTGGGGTTAAGTGACTTGCCCAGGGTCACACAGCTAATAAGTGTCAAGTATCTGAGGCTGGATTTGA